TTGGAACTTATGCATTCTGTTTCTTTTATTAAGGAGGTAGCCCTTAGATTTTGAAAATGTCATTCATTTGGTATCTTTATCTGCTTTCTGAACAATACAAAACCTTTACAGATGTTCATTCTGACTTGCCCATCTCATCTTCCAAATCATTTTCGTCTGGAACTTTAATTTCATATTGTTCATAAATTGCTCTGAATTAGACATTAGTTTTTATTATATATATTTTGGGGTGGGGTTAGGTAATTAGGCTTATTTATTTATTTAAGAGAAGGTACTGGGGATTGAACCCAGGACCTTGTGCATGCGAAGCATAAGCTCTACCACTTGAGCTATATCCTCCCTAGATTATTTTGTAAGCCAGTATCTATTTAGATTTATTAGTGTTTTTACTAGTGTCTTTTTCACTAGTGTCAAACTAGTAAAAAAAATGCCCACGTTCCAGTCCCCTGTCTTTCTCTCTCTGCAGGATATTGATGCTTGGAATTGACAAGCATGTAAATCTCACCTTTACCATGCTTAAAACAAAACCTCACTTCTTCCTCCCACCAGCTCTTCCCCCTGTTCCCTGTCCTTTCTTTTTTACTATTGTGGTAAAATACACATAACACAAAATTTACCATTTAACCATTTTAAAGTATACACTTAAGTGGCATGAAATACATTCAGAACATCATCATCATCCCGAACAGACACTCTATACCTCTTAGGCAATACATCCTCACTCCTGCCCACTCCCTGCCCACTCCCTGCCCCTGGTAACTTCTGCTTTCTGTCTCTATGAATTTGCCCATTCCAGATATTTCATATAAGTGGAATCATATGATACTGTGTCTGGCTTATTTCATATCGCATCCTCATCACGTCTTAGTTAATGCTCTTCACTTTGTGCTGTCCCCTTTGACTCACTCCCGCCCCTCCCCGTATCATGCCTAGTCAGTGGCCAAGTCCCACTGGTGCTCTCACAACAGCGTCTTTTACGTCCAGTCTCTTTTTTTCACACAGTCACGTCATTGCCACATGCCCCGTGATTTTATCCAGCGCATCACTGTCAGATGAATATTCTTCAAACACCGCATACCCGTATCTTTCAGTGCCTCCCCTCTATCCCACCGCAACTACTGAGTGAAGCCCAGAATCCCCATCCTGGCATTTAAGGCCTCCCACGATCTTGATCAATCAGCCTTGGATCCTTAAAGTGATGGCTGAGTGCAGATTCTGATAGGAGGAGGAGGAAAAAGGGGATACAAGGATCCTGGACGTCTGGCAGAGCAAGATGGCATCATTGTACACATGCGGAATGAGTATAAATCAGGGGCACCAGTGGTAGAGGGAAAAGCTGCCAGTTAACAGCTTTACCAGGGCTGGCATGGCTGTGAGAGAGTCTGTTCTTCCCCCACCCCACTCAGCTTTATTGAGATATAATTGACATATAACATTGTGTAAGTTTAAGGTATACAGCGTGTTGATTTGATACACTTACATATTGCAAAATGATTACCACCATAGTGTTAGTTAACACCTCCATCATGTCACACAATTATCATTTCTTTTTGTGGTGAGAATATTTAGGACTTACTCTCCTAACAATTTTCAAATATATAATACAGCATTGTTAACTGTAATTACCATCCCTCCTTTGGGTCCCCAGAACTTTTTATCTTCTAAGTGGAAGTTTGCACCCTTTGATCAACACCTCTCCATTTTCCCCACCTCCTAGTCCTTCGCAACCACCATTTTGCTCTCTGTTTCTACAAATTTGGCTTTTTTAGAGTCACATATAAATGAGATCATACAGTATTTGTCTTTCTCTGTCTGGCTCATTTCACATAGCATAATGCTTTCAAGGTCCATCCATGTTGTCTCCAGTGGCATGATTGCCTTCTTTTTCTTGGCAGAGTAATGTGCTATTGTGTATATTACACATCTTACTACATCTTCTTCCATTCATCTGTTGATGGACACTTAGGTTATTTCCGTATCTTGGCTATTGTGAATAACGCTGCAATAAACATGGGAGTGAAGAACTGTTTGAGATCTTATTTTCATTTCCTTTGGATGTATACTCAGAAGTGGGACTTCTGGATCATATGGCCGTTCTCTTCTTAATCCTTTGAGGAATCTCCATACTGTTTTCCATAGTGGCTGCACCAATTTTGAGGAGAGACTGTTCTTGACTCAGTTCTCGCTCTGTACCTGGGACAAGTCCAGAGCAGCAACAGCTCTCCCAACTTTCCTCCCCAAATCTTACTCTCTCAGGGATTGTGTGGCCACAGAAGGACAGGTGATGTCCAAGTGTGGAGTTCGTAAGTGTCTACACACAAATGAGAGATGGGCTACTTTGTGCATTCCTGATTGGCTTCCCAAGACATCACTGGTGACAAAAGCATTGTAATCTCAGTGCCACCTGGCCTGCTGCTGGACACGTTAAGTGTGAGATAGAGTGTGCTCAATAATAATGCAAAATTAAGGATTAAATATCCCAAACCTCCCCACACTCACAATTGTAGTTTGGTAAGGCATTCTCACTTTGCTTTGTGGAGTGTTTCCCCTAATTATTACACATTCTCCTCAAAACCTAATTTGAAACGAGGAACCCAAGTTTGCTTCCAAAGAATTAAGGATGACTGTTAGTCTAACTTATTTTCTGCATTTTTGAAATAAGCTCTTGTGGTTCAGAGGTCAGGAACCTACTCTTAGGCAGTATTGGATATCACCTACCTTCCTACTAAGATACTGACTATTACATCGGATCATGCAAAGCATGGTGGGAAAACTAACTAGTTGCTAGGCAACTTTGATTAAATGCAGGAAGCTATTATATACTTTGTAGAGACTGGCATATGATCTTTAAGTGTATGAAATTTTGATTGCCAACAGTATAAAAAATATTGCTTGCCAAGAGAAAAAAGATCTTAGCAGAGACAGTTAACCAAAACTATGAACAGCTGTATGATCATGAGGGTGCAATTTCCACCATTTTTGGTGTATATATTTTCCTTTGAACTCAGCACTTTGAGTAGCCACTCCAGGACTGAAGAGCACTGAGGTCCACTCCTCTCCTCTTTCCTCTTTTCTGCCTCCTTTTTCCTCCCTCTCCACCCTCCTCCTCCTCCTCCATCTCCTCTCCCCCATCCCCTGTCCACATCCTCTCTCCTCCACCTTCCCTCTGCCATTGTGTGTTATTTCACCCGGGCTGCCATAACAAAACACCACAGACAAGGTCAATTAGACAACAGACATTTGTTTTCTCACAATTCTGGAGCCCAGAAGTCCCGGATCAAGGTGCTGCAGCGTTGGTTTCTTCTGAGGCCCCTCTTCTTGGCTGTGTCTTCTTCTCCCTGTGTCTTCACATCCTCTTCCCTCTGTGTGTCTGTGTCCTAATTGCCTCTTTTTATGAGGACGTGTGTGAATTAGATTACAATCCACCCTAATGACTTCATTTTAACTCTGTTCCCTCTTTAAAGATCCTGTCTACGAATACAGTCCCATCCTGAAGGTTAGGACTTCAGTATATGAATTTGGGGCAACACAATTCTCGTAAGACCCGCCCTCCCTCTCCACCCCCCCATATCCTCTCAGCCCTCTCTCCACGTTCTCCATCCTCCCCCCTCTCCCTTCCCCTCCTCCTTTCTTCCTCCACTTGGCTTCAGCTTGCTGCCTCCATCCACCAAGCCCATTCAGTGGTCTTCTTCTTCTCCACGGTGGTCTATTGAGCAAGGCCCTGTAGGTACAGAGCCATAAGCAATAAGACCTTGCCTTCAAGTCTCTTAAAATCTGGTTAGAGAGATGAGACTCATAACAAAACAGAGCCCAATGCTTAGAACCCAGTGAGTGGCTCGCATGGAGTGTGAAGATCAGAGCAGAGAGGTGACCAAGAGCCCAGGCAGTCAGAGCTGCCTTCATGGCAGGTGGAGCACACACTGAGCACTGAAAAGAGAGGCAGCTGCAGGGGAGGAAAAAGGCCCCCACCACAGGCAGGAGGAATAGGATGAGCCGAGACCAGGAGTTTGGTCACACTGACAGCCATCGGAAGGCCACGCGAAGGAGGCTGCGCAAGATGCTGGGGGCAGGGGAGATGAGAGGCTTGGGGCTGTCCGAGGCAGGGCCACACCATGGGGAAGGCGGATAAGTCCACTCATTTGGATTATAGCTGAAGGTCTGGAACCAGATGATTTATTAGGATAAAATGTATAAACCATTGTAATTCACTGCAGACTCAGCTTTCTGCACCCCCGGTGACATTCGGCGAGGTGAGGGGACCAAAGGCATAGCTAAACCCAAGGGGACGTGGCAGAGAGGCAGATGGGAGAGACTCAGGACTGGTGCTCAGGAGACCTGGACTCAGACTGGCTCTGCCTCCAAATAGCTGTGTGACCTTGGGCAAGTCACTTACCCACTCTGGGCTACATATTCTGTGTTGGAAAATGGGAGGATAGGGGTAGATAGGAGGTTTTTCCAAAGATGAGTAACCAGAGTCCCCATTTGTAAAGCCAGTTGCTCCACTCTACCCAGAAGGAAATCCAGGAGCTAAGACTAGAAGTCAGGGCAAAAGACCTCTAAGTCCCCTTCAGGCTCTTTCTGTGACACTAAAACCCAGCCCTCTCAGACCACACTCCTGGTCTCCCGAGAGGGGGCCTGTAATCCCAGGTCGATTTGTGAGAAAAGAGTAGTTGATTTTCAGCAGAGCACCCCCTAAGCATCCCTAGCTTTACGTAAAAATCCATTACAACTCAATCATATATAAGCCATCCTTATTTATTTTTATCCAAAAGTACTTAATAGGCACTGACTATGGTTAAGAACATTTACTGACTAGCCTGAAGACACACAGAGAAATTGGGCACAGTATCTTCTTTTCAAATTTAGGTCACTTGCTTTTTACACAAGCCTCACACTCTTTTGAATACTGGGTTTTTCATCTTAATGTTAGTGTTAAAAGAATCTCCCCTCAGTTTTACAGTTGCTTTTCGTGTGCCCTCCTACTTTCCGTGCTCCACCCCAGCTCTCACCAGCGCTGGTGAGAAGAGGGAGAGTGCAAGGCTTAGAATCTGCAATTTAATGAGCTTTGGTCCTTGCCAATGATACTGAAGAGTGTGTAGCCATCGACAAATGATTGGATAAAGAAGATGTCGTGTGTGTGTCTGTGTGTATATATGTATACACAGACACACACACACACACACACATATATGGAATATTAATTACTCAGCCAGAAAAAAAGAATGGAATAATGCCATTTGCAGCAACATGGATGGACCTGGAGATCATCATACTAAGTGAAGTAAGTCAGACAGGGAAAGACAAATAGCCTATGAGATCACTTATATGTGGAATTAAAAAAAAATGATGCGAACTTATTTACAAAACAGAAACAGACTCACAGACATAGAAAACAAACTTATAGTTACCCGGGGGAAAGGGGGTGAGGAGGGAAAAATTGGGAGTTTGGGATTTGCAGATACTAATACTATATATAAAATAGATAAACAATCAGGTCCTACTGTATAGCACAGGAAACCATATTCAATATCTTATAATAATCTATAATGAAAAAGAATATGAAAATAAATATGTGTGTGTGTGTGTGTAATTGGATCACTATGCTGTACACCAGAAACTACTAGCACAACATTGCAAGCTGACTATACTTCAATTAAAAAAAAAGAGTGTGCAAAGGCTGATGGGCTGAAATAATGTGTTAAAAATGGCTCTCTCTGGGTTTGAGTGGGAGGTACTCAGGAGAGCTGAGTGGTTGTCTCACCCGCCACATTCCCATGTTGCTCTTGTCTCCTGTGATTTAAAATATCAGAGTCGCCTTTGCCTGTCCTTAACCCACCACATTTATTCCATCTCCCCCTCTTCCTGCCCCAGGAAAAAAGAGGAAGATTTGCAGACCTATTGGATGCTAAATATTTACGGACCACGTTACAGATCTGGGTCATATGGTAAGAATGGAATTATTTCAAAACTAGATTTAAATAAACAAGCATTTTTCAGTGGGAGAAACCCCACTGAAGTAAATCCCTTCTGTGTGCTCTGGGGAGAAAACCCAAGGCAGACTCCAGCAATGCCTTGCCTTTCTGTTAACACCACTGACCACAAAATACATGTGAAATAACAGCAAGGGAGAAAGAAAAAAATCAGAATCATCTACAACCAGTTTTTCATTTTTCATCCTAGCGCACGAGCTCGCATTCTAAGCTTTTGCAGCCTGGTCTTTTCCCTCATCACTTTCCAGGAACAGGTTCTTTGAGATCACTGATAAGTTGAAAAGAATAGATTCAGTGGTGTTGTCTGTGCAGCCAGGACCCTGAGTGAGCAAAGATTGTCTAAACAGGACACAAAAAGTGCTAACTGTAAAGGAAGACATGGATGACTTTGCCTACGTTAAGTTAGGAACTCTGTGTCCTGAGCTATCACGAAGAGCCTGCAAAGTAAGCCACCAACTAAGAGAAGAAACTATCTAACAAACTATAGATACATATTGTATATATTATTAATATATTTCTATTACATAATTTTTTCAACAAGAAAATACACAACCTAGTAGAGAAGTAGGCAAGAGACTTGAACAGGCACTGGACCAAAAATGTATACTGAATAAGCATGTGCAAACATGCCCAGCCTTAAAGTCGCTGGGGGAAATGCAAATTAAAACCAAGGGAGACATGGTTACAGATCTACCCAAATGGCTAAAAGTGAGAAGACTGACTATATCAAGTGCTGGGAAGGATGTAAAGTCACTGGCTCTTTCACACATGGCTGATTGGAGTTCAGACCAGTACAACCACTTTGGAAAATGGTCTGGAGATGTCTGTTACAGTTGGAAATATGCATATCCTATGGCTCAGCAACCACTCCTAGATTTATACCCAACTGAAATGCATAGTAAAATAAAGTAGCATTATTTTATTTGTAACAGCCCCAAACTACAAACAACCCACATGCCCATCAACAGTATAGTGGATAAATTGTGTTATATTTGTAAAATAGAATACTATACAATAACAAAAGTGAGAAAACTAGAGGTCTGCACTCAACATGGCTGAATCCCACAAATGTAATAATGTGTAAAGAAAGTCCGACAAACGGAATACATACTATGTGCTTCCATTTATATAAAGATACAAAACAGTAAAAACTAATCTATAGTGTTTGAATTCAGGAAAGTGGTGGTCTGTCTGTCTTTCCCAGATACAATCACTAAAAATAGGTTGGTATTGTCTCCTCTTGAGACTTCTTAATTTTTAAAATACTCTTAATATTTGGAAATTAAACAAAAAAATGAAAGCTACCTTAATAACAGGAGAGAGAGATTGTGATTGTTTTTTAATATTTCATTATGAAGATTTCCAAATGCACATGAAAGCAGGGAGGATACCCCTGAGGAAGTTGGCTTTGCTCGTCACCCAGGTCTGATAATCACTGATACCCACACAGATTTGCTTCAGCTCTGTTTCTCCTGGGCTGAAGTTGTTTTCAAGCGAGCCCTAGACTTCATGCCATCTCACCCCCAGATACTTCAGTAAGAGTCTTGGCTACTTGAGGACGCTTTCTTAGATGATTCCAATCCTAAACTCACACCACCAGGATTAACAATCATCACGTTAATGTCACCCAGTACTCAGATCACACGTGATTTTCTGCGATTGTCCCCATTTGTCTTTCCAGCTGGCTTCTACGGCCGGTTCTGTAAAACGAAGAGGGGCACATGGGGAGCTTCTGGGAGGCTGATGGCATTCTTTTTCTTGACTTGGATATATGAATGTTTCTGTACGTTGTTTATAGCTCAATAAAAATATCTATTAAAGAAAAAACAGAAAAAAAATTAGGGAGAAAATATAAAC